CACTAACCTCGCCAACGCGGTGCACTTGCAGCACTGCCTCACTCAGCTGCGGCCACCAGAGGGCCGCAGCCTGGCCGCGCTGCTGCCGCCTGGGCATAGCCCGGCGGCGGCGTGCACGGTCATGGCCCCGCCTTACACGGCGCTCGACATTCCGGGCCGGCCATGGGTGGCGTTACCGCCGCCCTCGGTCTCGGACGCGCCGCTACGGGCGGGGCCCAACCGCACTCCCAGCCGGGTCACTGCGGCCGCCTACTCGGCGGCGGCTGGCTTTTGGCTGCGGACGTCGCGGCACACAAAGCTGGAGCTGGAGCTGGAGCTGCTGGAGACGTCATCCCCGCCGCCGGTCTTCCAGTTCGCTCTCTCCTTCTGCATGGCGCTGCACCGCGCGTTCGTCACGCCGCACGACATGCAGTATCCTGCGGCACGGCACCTCGTGACCTCACCGCAGGGGGGGGGAAGCGAGCTGGCGCCGCCGATTTCTACTGGGGCCGCGGCAGCGGTCTCGGGGTCGGTGGCAGGATTGGCGGGAGGGGCAGCGCCGCCGCTGCCGGCCTTAGCGGTTTCCGCTGTGGCGGTCCGCTGGTCGGCGGCGGCGGCCTGGGATGAGGAGCTGACGCCGCTGGCCTGCGCCTTGCTGACACAGCGGGCGCCTGGGCTGGCGGTGGTCATGGCCACGGCTGGGCTTGCCTCGGCTGTGGATGCACAGGAGAGCACATTGGCGGAAGGGACCGACCCTGACGTGTGGCTTGACGCGTCAACGTTGGCGCACCTCCAGGGCGCGCCGGCGGGGGTCGGGACCGACGGGCGGCCGGAACGGCGCGTGCTCCGACGGGCCGCGCTGTACCGGTGGACGGGGGATCAATTGCTTAGGGCCTGCAGCGACGGCTCGACGCGGGTCTGCCCACCGCCCGACGCTCGGGAGGCCATCGTGCGGCAAGTGCACGCGGTGGCCCACCTGGGCATACGTCGGACCTTGGCGCTGGTGCAGCTGGGTCACTGGTGGCACGGGATGCGAAAAACCGTCCAGCGGGTCGTGCGCAGCTGCAAGCTGTGCGACATGACCAACAGCGGCGGCATCGCGCGCCCGATCCAGCTGCAGCCGTTGGCCATACGGGGCATGTTCTACCGCTGGGGCGTTGACCTGGCGGGACCTCTGCCCCCGACTGCGCCGTTCGGCTACACTTATGTCATGGTATGCATTGAACATTTCACCAAGCATGCGGAGTTTGTGGCCCTGCGGAGCAAGCAGCCTGACGAGACGTCCCGCTGCCTGCTGGAGCTGGTGGCCCGGTTCTCGGCCCCAGCCGAAGTGGTGACCGACCGCGGCGGTGAGTTCCAAGGGGCTTTCGCGGCGCTGCTTCGGCAATGCTTCGTCGACCATCGGCTGACCTCGGCGGGCCATCCCCAAGCAGACGGGGCCGCCGAGCGGCTGGTTCAGGTCGTCAAGGCGGCGCTGCGTAAGCACTGCAAGGACACGGGAAGGACGGACGATTGGGATCTGCAACTGCCTTGGCTGGCGCTCGCCTACCGCTGCTCGCCTCAGGCGTCGACCCGGTACTCGCCATACGAACTCATGTTCGGCGTGCCGCCGGTCGTACCGCCTGCTGTGCGGGAGCGCATGGCGGAGCCGCTGGGGCTGGCCGGCCCGGTGGGAGCTTACGCGGCGGTGCTCCAAGAGCGCGCCGCACTTCTGCAGCGGCATGCTCCCATCGCTGCGGCAAATCTGCTCATCGCCCAGCACCGAGACACGCGCCGGTACGCGCACGTGCGCTCAGGCAAGTACCGGCCGCCGGCTATGGAGTTCGCCCCAGGCGACTACGTGTATGTGCGCCGGTCAGCGGTGCACAACACTCTGCAGATGCCGGTGTACGATGAGGTGCTGCGCGTAGAACGGGTCGGGGCCATGGGAGTAGCAGTGTTGTTAGGGCGTGATGGGGGACGAATTAGACGTAGGATAGAGCAGCTGGTGCCGTGCCACCTGCCCGATCTTGATCCGATCGTCGATGTACGGCTGCAACGGCCAACCGCCGACCTCGCCTGCGAGGTCTGTGAGTCGCCCGAAGATGAGGCGCGCATGCTGCTGTGCGATGCGTGCGGGACAGGCTGGCACCTGCAGTGCCTGTCCCCGCCGCTGAGCGCGGTGCCGCCGGGACAGTGGGTCTGCCCTGAGTGTGTCAAGCTCAGGCGCGAGGCCCCGGTGGGGCCAGAGATGGCCTTGCCCAAGGCGGCGCCGGTCCTGTTCCCCAACGCCGCCACGCGGCGGCGGGACGAGCAAGCGGCAGCACTCGACGGTGTCCGGGTCAAGCGTGTCGTGTACACGGGGCAAGGAAGGCAGCGGGCGAGGTCAGTGGTTTGGGGTACGGTGCGGTATCGCGGAGCATTGGCTAGGCCCCACTACTTTCTCGTCGAGTGGGACGAGGGGTCAGCTGAGCCGATGGGCATCACCGCGGTCAACCGCCTGTTGGTGACTGGATGATTGGGGGGCTTAGTGCAGTGGTTTACTGGGTTGCCTCACGGCCGGGTACTCAGCGGAGGTTGGAAGACCGCTTGTGTGCGGCAACGGACCTTTGACCTGGTGGTGATCCGCGAAGGGTCGCTTGGGCCTGAACAGGCCGTCAGACTGCGCGCGCGCGCGACTAGAGGAACTGAACCTTCCGGGGCTGCACCGCGTGGCGCGTTGTGTGACTGTTTCACCCCGGCAGATCGCCGCCTTGCGGCTGGGGGGGGAGACAGGGCTCCGGGCTTAGACCCGGCGGGAAGGCGGCTAACCGCCTTGCCTAACGCAGGTTGCAGGGGTGTTCCTTCGGGGGGGCTCTCGCGTGAGTGTCCTCGACGTTGGGACGTAGACGCCCACGGTGGTGCAGTTTGGCCGCAATGGCCGCGCTTGGAAAAGGCGCACTCGAGTGTTTCTTCGGTGCTATTGCCTTGGGGAGAGTGAAGTATAGCGCGCACGTGCTCGGGCTGGGCGCCACTGGCACAGGACGGCACGACGTTGTGCGAACGCAGACGCGATTCCAGAGCAGCAGACTCCGGGCAACCCGCGTAATCGGATTTGGATCTTGGCGACCTCCGCGAGACGGGCGCGAAGCTCTTATTGCCGGACGATAGCGCGCCTTGACTTGTGCATGCTAGGCCGCGAGCACCTCACTAGATAGACGAATAGCCGTTTAGCGGCGCTGTACACCCTCGTTTATGCGGTGGGCGGAAACCCGTAGTAGTTGCATTGCGACCGGCGCCAGGCATCCGTGCCGGCCGGATAGTCGCAGGAGAGTTGCAGGTCTAGCCTCACTGTCTTTCAGGATCGGTAGCTGTTTACTCGCGCCGCGATTCATAGCCAGCACCTCCCTCGCTTAGCTCCGCTGCTACGTTCGGGGGGGGGAGTCCGCGTACCCGGTGTCGCGGGCACATGCCTTCCAGCGTTGGGGCATGACAGCTGTCGTGCACCGTTGGTGTCGGTACATTTCCGGGACAAATGCCCGGTGAGGGCGCGGAGAGACGCTAGGAAGGACCCTCGAGCGTATCTGGACGTATCTCCATCTTATGGGAGATATTACGGTCGTACTGCTCGTCCAAACGAGCTCCTACCTAGGCGCGAGCGCTTCCTGCTGGAAGTGCTTCGCTTGGTCATTACGATGCCGAAGGATATATGATATTGTAACACACAATCAGATCCCCAGCAGCGACTCTCGCTGTGGCGTTAGCCCAAGCCGCCACAATGGTGTCTCACATGCACTAGCGTGGCGCCGGCCGGGCCTGATCAACCTGGCTGGCTGCCTTATCGCTTGTGCATTATAGTAGTCAGCTCAGCAGCACTGTTGCTCGCGCGCACGTAGGCGCCGAGCTCGGACCTCACGCTAGGAAGAAGGAGCGCGGCCTCGCCCCAGCGGTCAGGCCTCGGGGCCAGTACTGGATGCAGTGAGCCCGGCTGCAGTCCAGCTGCTGTCGTGCACGCCCCGCGCGAGCCCACGTCCGTGTACCCGGTGTCGCGGGCACATGCCTTCCAGCGTTGGGGCATGACAACAAGCTCCTAAGGATTGCTTCTTAAATGTTTAAATCAAGGGATTTGAATGGTGATCTGTAGTGTTGTGCCTTGAGTGCATTTTGAAACAGACCACGACTACCATCCGGTGCTTTTTTGGCCGTGAAGTGATAAGTTGATCCCGCAGAACATAGCACTAAAAAACAGAGTGTAGCAGTCTTCGTTGCTAAAGGCCACTCGAGTTGTTTGTACAGGTGTAGCTTATGCTCTTATAGCCTAGCACCACACTGTCGTACAGCTGCTACACAGTGGAAGTGGAGAGCAAGCTGTATATTGCCTTGGGCTTAGGTTCACATCATACTGACACATGTGAGGCTTCAACCTTCCTGACAGTATGTGGACAGCAACACGGAAAACAATCTATAGTTACCCAAGCTGCTATTTACTTGTCATGCAGGGTTCCATCCCAAAGCTCCTACATCAGGACGGGCTACTGGGGTTTGGCAGAGGCCTGTCCTGAACTGGAGAGCCTCATGGCTATGCCTTCCACTGCCATGTCATGTGTCAGTCAGGCATTGCACCGGATTCCATACATGTCCTATTCCTCTCTGGAGGTTTCCCGTTTTTCCTATCATGGCAGCACCTTCGATGCTGTCTCTTGTCAAGGCTATTGCAACTGGGCATTTAGTAGCTCATAGTCCTGGTGTATTGTAAGGGGCTTTAGCTCAGTGGTAGTGCGCGCGCTTCGCATGCGTGAGGTCACCGGATCGATCCCGGTAAGCTCCAGAAGGAACATTTTGAGCAGGCATACCATCATGTATACACTCTGATGTTAAATTATCATTTGATCCCGAGTCCAAGTCCACTTAGGGTTTGTATGTTCACTTATAAGCTGCAGATAATGTGCAAGCTGTCCCCAAAAATATCCAGAAACAACTTGGTCATGCATACCTCAACTTCTTAACTTACAAGAGGATTCAGGTCATATATTGTGTATAAGATGATATTTATATGCTGTCATTGACTTCATCCAGTTTCGATTTGGGGACCTTCTGTGTATGTTAGACAGATGTGATTCCACTACACCATGAAGTCTGCACCAGGTTGCCAATGTAAGTTTGCATTGCTGTAGTGTTGTTGTTTATGTGGTTACTGGCACAGTTCTGTTGGAAATGTTTCTCATGGCCAAAGTTTGCCAGATCAGAGTCTAGGGAAACTAGGGCAGCATGGTGGGATTCGGCGGTTTATGGGATCCCCGCATACACTGGATTGTATCAGCTGCACACACCAGCCTCATGCACAATCATCCAGGTCGAGGTGTAGAGGTGAGGTGGATGGTGCACCCCGACCCATCTATCTGTGCAGCAGCCATGATGGTCACAGACATGCAAACCCATCATTCATTGACATGCATGCATAATGTGTGCGTCATGTCATTGACAGGTTTATTTATTAGCCATTGAGTGATACCATGTATGTGTTAAAGTTGTGCAAGTTTGCCACTTACTTTATAAGCAGAAATCATCAAAATATGCAAGACATTATTAGAAGGTGGCCATGGTGACTTTTGGGTTCCCCTGGCTTGTTCCGCATGGAAAGATATGTGGGCCCCTTAAGTCAGGTAAGTTCATTGCCAACATGCATTCAAATACCGACTTCCTTTTGTAAGTTTATACATGGCCACAAGCTCCTAAGGATTGCTTCTTAAATGTTTAAATCAAGGGATTTGAATGGTGATCTGTAGTGTTGTGCCTTGAGTGCATTTTGAAACAGACCACGACTACCATCCGGTGCTTTTTTGGCCGTGAAGTGATAAGTTGATCCCGCAGAACATAGCACTAAAAAACAGAGTGTAGCAGTCTTAGTTGCTAAAGGCCACTCGAGTTGTTTGTACAGGTGTAGCTTATGCTCTTATAGCCTAGCACCTCACTGTCGTACAGCTGCTACACAGTGGAAGTGGAGAGCAAGCTGTATATTGCCTCGGGCTTAGGTTCACATCATACTGACACATGTGAGGCTTCAACCTTCCTGACAGTATGTGGACAGCAACACGGAAAACAATCTATAGTTACCCAAGCTGCTATTTACTTGTCATGCAGGGTTCCATCCCAAAGCTCCTACATCAGGACGGGCTACTGGGGTTTGGCAGAGGCCTGTCCTGAACTGGAGAGCCTCATGGCTATGCCTTCCACTGCCATGTCATGTGTCAGTCAGGCATTGCACCGGATTCCATACATGTCCTATTCCTCTCTGGAGGTTTCCCGTGTTTCCTATCATGGCAGCACCTTCGATGCTGCCTCCTGTCAAGGCCATTGCAACTGGGCATTTAGTAGCTCATAGTCCTGGTGTATTGTAAGGGGCTTTAGCATAATGGTAGAGCGCGCGCTTTGCATGCGTGAGGTCATCGGATCGATCCCGGTAAGCTCCAGGAGGAACGTTTTGAGCAGGCAGACCATCATGTATACACTCTGGTGTCAAATTATCATTTGATCCCGAGTCCAAGTCCACTTAGGGTTTGTATGTTCACTTATCAGCTGCAGATAATGTGAAAGCTGTCCCCAAAAATATTTAGAACAACTTGGTCATGCATACCTCAACTTCTTAACTTACAAGAGGATTCAGGTCATATATTGTGTATAAGATGATATTTATATGCTGTCATTGACTTCATCCAGTTTCGATTTGGGGACCTTCTGTGTATGTTAGACAGATGTGATTCCACTGCACCATGAAGTCTGCACCAGGTTGCCAATGTAAGTTTGCATTGCTGTAGTGTTGTTGTTTATGTGGTGTTTTACCAGTGGCTACTGGCACTTTTATACAGTTGTGTTGGTGAAGTTTGTCATGGCCAAAGATTGCCAGATCAGAGTCTATGGAAACTAGGGCAGCATGGTGGGATTCGGCGGTTTATGGGATCCCCGCATACACTGGATTGTGTCAGCTGCACACACCAGCCTCATGCACAATCATCCAGGTCGAGGTGTAGAGGTGAGGTGGATGGTGCACCCCGACCCATCTATCTGTGCAGCAGCCATGATGGTCACAGACATGCAAACCCCTCATTCATTGACATGCATGCATAATGTTTGCGTCATGTCATTGACAGGTTGGCTCGCCCCAATAGGGGCGAAAGCCTTAGCGGTCGGTATCAACGGTCACAATGGTGCAAAGTTGAGTATGCATATACTGTTGCACAGGACCGTTGCACAGGTCCTTTGTACCATACACCGGCCCTTTACCGTTGGGCCGGTCCTATGTACATTGGGCACTGTACCACTGTGCGTCCGATAACCAAGAGCGAGTGTTAAATAATGAATATTTATATGTAGACCATGATGTTAAAATGGACGTAGTGTACCACGTGTGAATGAAAGTGTCGGTGCCTGGCGGCTTGCAGAGTATATATATTTCGAATACACTCCATTGTAATGTTCCCGAATATAATCCGTCTCGACCACCGTTTAAGCTGGTGCCAAGGTGTAACCGTGGTAGGTTTCACAAGCTCAAACAGAACTTATCAGAGAGCGGCATTGTAAGTTTGTTGAGACCGTCTCATACAAGCGGAACGGCCAGTGCTCGTGCACCTCGAATTCGGCACCTGGGCTGGTACAGGCCAGTCTGGCCCGTTGCATTGGCAACTATTACAGGCTCAAGGAGAAGACATTGGGTTGCGGACCTGTTGTATTGCTGAGGCCGTTCCATTCATTGGTGTGCAGCTGCTGCTTGCACGAGGTAGCTGCCTGCAGGCGGCTCCACTCGGGAAAAGGCCCAGTCATAAAGCGTCATCTCGGTCATAATCCCAGTCATACACCCAGTCATAAACCCAGTCATAAAGGGGGCGCCAGTCATATTTCCAGTCATAAACCCAGTCATAACGTGCTCCCCTGGTCATGGAAAGCGGTCAGGGACAGCACCCGATATGACTGGGGCCAGTCATATAAAGCCCAGTCATATTGTTTATGACTGCATTTATGACTGGAATTATGACTGAAAACGAGTCATAACGTGTCTCCGTGGGACGGGGATATGACTGGGATGCTACATTATGACTGATTTCCAGTCATTCCGTGTGATTTCCAGTCATTCCGTGCAGTCATTCTGTCATCTCAGTCATTTTCTGCATCCATGTTCTGCTAGCGTGTCTGCGCCCCATGACCCACAGCTGCACACTATGACTCGGCACAGTCATTCCCCGCTTGCACCCCATGACCCGCAGCTGCACACTATGACTCGGCGCAGTCATTCCCCGCCTGCGCCCCATGACCTGCAGCTGCACACTATGACTCGGCGCAGTCATTCCCCGCCTTCGCCCCATGACCCGCAGCTGCACACTATGACTCGGCGCAGTCATTCCCCGCCTGCACCGAACTGGAGGCCCAAACCTCATTCAATGGTAGTAACAACCACCGGTTCTGCCTCTTGCTGGTGGATACTTAATGATTCTTGGCTAAAGTGGAGTGCAATACTACTACCATTGTGATAGTAACACACATGGCTAGCAGTGTAACAATAGGTAGGTGAGAAGGTGGGAAGGTGGGAAGGTGGGAAGGTCAGGCCAGGCCTACGGTCGGAAGAGCTGCACTGGGGACAATGGAGATGTGGGGCTGGCACAACTTACAGTGGAAATGGGAACCTCCCAAGCTCCAAGTATGTCCACTCCAGGGCCGCTAGCTCCACACCAGTCCTCTCCAAGGCCGCTAGCTCCACACCAGTCCTCTCCAAGGCCGCTAGCTCCACACCAGTCCTCTTCAAGGCTGCTAGCTCCACACCAGTCCTCTTCAAGGCCGCTAGCTCCAAACCAGTCCTCTCCAAGGCCGATAGCTCCCAGCCACCAGGAGCCACTCCGAAGGCCAATAGCTCCTAGCAAGTCTACTCTTGCCAAGAGTGAGGCAAGGGAGGTAGGGAGAGGGTGAATCAAGGGAGGACCACCCAGCATGGAGGGCTAGGGCGGGGCAAGGACAGACATGGGGCCGTAAAGCAGTCAAACTGGCCATCCATATGCGACATGTGGACATGAAAACTTTACAATCAGGTCCATCCTAACTACTGCACCTCTGTGAGATTCACAAATGGATGGGTACAGGATGGAAGCAAACAGAGCTAACAAGGTTGACGAAATATGTCTGTTACAAATACAATTAATTATACGCACGAACGTGATGACTGGAAGATAGTCCAATGGATAAGCTTCATCCACAGTAGAAGCACGCATCCATGCCGACGACGCTGGTCTGCACACCGGGAACTATGAGCTCCCTGAAGTGTCCAATGCATCCTGTAGCACATAGGGAATGATAGATGATTGCAGCAAGGCATACGGCCAACAGATTTACAATTTCTTGCCTCGCTGACCTTATGTTTGACTGTTGTTACTAGCAGCCAGCAGCCAACAGACATGTATCGTCAAGCACAAGTAAAATGAACCATTCTGTATGACTATTTATGTAAAATGTTATATATCACAGCGAAAGGAAGGCAGGATTGGCCCTAACCAGACATCAGTGATGTTAACGGGGCTTCTGTACAAGAAACCTTAGGTATTTCTCATGCTTTCACCATTATTGAATCCAGTAGGTCATATAAATTCATAAGTACATGAGACAAGCTGTTTGTTTTGTGAAAGTTTGTTATTTCATCGGCGTGTACGACGGCCTATGGATAGGCCGTCGTACATGCAGTGCAGGAGCCCATTACGCATTACCAGCGTGCATGAAGGGAAATGATCACATCTGTTAATTCTCTAAAACTGAGCCCACTTTTGATCATCTTGCTGGCCTAGGGTGGCCGGGGTGGTGTGTAACTCGGCTGTTGTTTGCTTTTACCAGTCCACAGCACCAGCACTTTCTGTTGGGATGCATCACAAATCAGTCGCGGGTTGCACACCATCCCGGCGGCCGGTGTGCTGTGACAATCCAGGCGGGGCTTACAGCCCACCGGCCGCGGCACTGCTGCGGGTGCATTGGTTGCCGCCGCTGCCAGCAATAGTTGTGTTGCCACCCCCGCGGCCCCGCGGCCCCCACGGCCCCGCGGCCCCCACGGCCCCGCGGCTTCGGCACTGCCACTGTCAGCAGCGGCACCACCGTGCGCCGGCAGCAGTGGTGCTCCTGCCGCCACCAGCAGCGGCTCTCGGCCACACCCCACACAGGACCCCCAGGCCAACCACCACCTAGCCCCCCACGGTGCCCCCGGCCCTCCTTCTGGGCCCCCTAATCCCCCCCACCGGGCCCCCTAAACTTCGGCATCGCCAACTTCGATCCACAGCGTGTTGCATCCGTTTTTGGCCTGCACAGGAGCAATGCAACCCCGCCCCGCCCTGCCCCCCACCGGGCCCCCAGCAGACGTGCAACAGCTGGTGGGCTGTAGGATTGACACAACACACCGGCTGCACCGCCGGGGTGGTGTGCAACCCTGCTGCTGGCTGCTTTTACCAGTCCACGGCACCAAGCGGATTTGTGATGCAAACACGTAACCTGTGAGCTATCTGCAAAGCAAAGGAAGCGGGTAATAAGCTTGCAAGCAACGGTGCGCACGTTAAAAACACAAACCGGGGTTGTAGTGAGTATGAGATGCACCGCCACTGGGATGGCACGATGAAGGCGCGGCAAGCTGTCGCGTTGGCACCTCAAGGGACGCTGTGGGCAGCAGACTATACCTCCCTTGGCTGCACCGACGAAACCTTTTTCGAGTACAGTGGCTTCATCTGCCCTTTCGACAGGCAGAGAGTGTCGCCCACACAAGAGTGAAACCGTTACATGAGGCCATGGGCCAAGTGCACAGTGGCAAGCCTGCCCCTGCACTGCCCACACGCTGCTGATGTGGCGCCCTGTATGTCAAGTCGGGGTGGTGGGCGCCGAGGGTAATCGGTGGCTGGGTTTGCATGGTCAGGCACAGGGGAGGCTTGCTGCCGGCTGCCAGCAGTGGGGATGCATGCATGCTAGAAGGGGCTGCCGCTGAGCGGCAAGCAACAAAAATGCGACTGGTCAAACCGTGTCCATAGTCACGCAATCACCGAGCCCTTCTTAATATAAGTAGAGCCCACGGCAACTAGCCTGTCAAGATTAAAGGCACCCACTCGAGTCCGAAGGCCTTTGGAACGACAGTGAAGCTTGAAATCCTGGACATGGAGATCCGTTCATTGGCTCACGCCTTTACGTGGATAAACCGCCCGTCCCCGCTCTGCCCCGCCCCACCCCGCCGTCCCCGGCCCTCCACCGCCGTGCCTCGCCCAGCCCTGCCCAGCCCAGCCCCGACCCGACCCCGACCCGCTGTGCCTCGCCCAGCCATGCCCTACCCAGCTTTGCCCTGCCACGCCCAGCCCCGGCCCGGCCAGGCCCCGGCCCGCCGTGCCTCACCCTGCCCTGCACAGACCCACCCCGGCCCTCCCTACCCCGCCGTACCCGGCCCTCCCCCGCCGTGCCTCGCCCAGCC